TATCTATCTATCTATCTATCTATCTATCTATCTATCTATCTATCTATCTATCTATCTATCTATCTATCTATATATCTATCTATCTATCTTTTACTAATTTCAGAATCAGAATCAGAATCAGAATTGGGTTTTATTGCCAAGTAGGTTTACACATACAAGGAATTTGCTTTGGTGAAAGCACCGAGGCAGCCATTTTCGGCGCCAAGACATCTTCAGAACCAAAATGAATACGTTGGGAAAGCAGTTGCGGGGAGAGGGGAAAAAAAAGGCCCAATGCCACGCCCCCTCCAGGGGACGTAACAGTGATTTAAAAAAACACCTCTTACACTGAAGCACAGATACAGTCAATCACAACATCAAGGACACATAGGGAGGGAGGGATGGGGAAAGGTAACAGCGAGGCAGTGAGTCCAAGGAATGCATGAAGTCTGTACTTGTGTGTGTGTAAGTGTAAGCAAGCTGGAGTCCACATCCACAGGCAGGATGGAATTTGTCCTTGTGATGCCCAAACTCCTGCTTGGGAAGAAGGAGGGGGTGGGGGGGGGCAAAGCGTCGGTCTGCAGTTTCATCCAGGGCAAAGTTGTAGAGTAGCAGCTGCAAGGCCGCTCTCGGGAGGCCAGAATGAGATAAGAGAGATAGCTTTGTTCCAGACAGAGCGTGTTTTGTCTGCCTTAAGTCCTCAGCAGGTCTCAATGGCGATCCAATTCAGCCGAATTGTGTTAATTTCCATCCATCTGAACCACCACCTTCTCCAAGTTGTTCCCCATCACCCTCATGCTGTCACACATCGTCCCCATTTTGCTTACCAGCGCATCATGTTTGCGAGACAACTCGCACAAGGTTTGAGTCTGAGCGTTGATGGCCCGGAAAACCGGCTCGACAGGCAACCCGCCACCAGTTGCCCTCAGCTTCCGAATTTCTCGAAAAACCAGGTATCCACCAACTCCAATCAGCAGGAACCCGGTTATCATGAATCCAAATAGGTATAGGTCCTCGACGTCCTCCACGGAAAGAATTGAAAGGCATAAAACCCTCCAGCTCCTCCAGGCATCCATCGTGAAACCCGCAGGGTAGGTCCCGGCTGGACAAGTTGCAGCCCCCGCAGCTTGTCTTTGGGTTGAAAAGATTTTGTCAATTGCGTTGAGAGACCAGCCGACCAAATCCATGGTTGATGTTAGGCTTTAGGAAGTAAAAATGCAGAGCGAAACTTTGAGATGAGACAGGACAGAGATTGCAAGCAAGGCACCAAGGACAGGGGGTGGGAGGGAGAGAGAAACACGTCTGCACTCGCCGAGAGCAGGAGGAAGAAGGAAGAATTTATAACCTTACGTAACTCCAAGAAAGTGCATACAGTACAATCTTTTTTAAGGCCTCCCAGTTTTTGTTTGTTTTTTCTTGTTAAACCACTTAACACTGAGTACTGTAAATCATTTAAGTGAAAAAAAGACAAGATTCACACAAGGATTGAACCCCCAGTTCCTCAGTGATTCAGCAGAAAGATTTTTTTTTTCCAGCAATACTGAAACCATAGCGCAGATCATGTTATCTGTAAGAAAATACAGTATCTCACCATCATGGTCTCCAGGTTGTGAGCAGATTTCAGTAGCATCCCACTCATAATTCTCGTCTACAGAGGGCTTTCTCCTAAAGAGGCAACAAAATATCACTTAATAGCAAATATATAAACACAGCTGGGATGCCTAATGTACACTCATGCACTCAGTACTGTCGACAAATGGCAAACCACTTCCATTAAGCTGAACGTCGAACCAGCATTCTCCCAATAAAGTACTCTTCTGTTTCTCTCTTCATCTCAAAACACTTTGCTTCATGCTTTTTAAATCTGAATATATGAGTAGAATTGTGTAAATTTCACCAATTCTGACGATGTGTTCTCTCCCACAGAACTTTACTCTACTGCACTTTTATCCATTTAAGCACTTATTTCATTCTGACTCACAGGACAAATACACTTTTTATTACATATTCCTCAGTTGTAGAAATAAAGGATTATTGCTACATGTCCCTTTTTTTATTATTGGCCAGTAATTGATGGTTTATTTTCTTATCTTATTTAATTTGCGCCGCAAACAGAACTGCACACTAATGCACTGTGACAGATCTTTATTTTTGTTTTCCCTATGACCATCTATTACGAGTTTTTTTCTGTGTGCTGCTCAGAATGATGTGTGTGGGATGACTAAAATTAGAAAAAAAGGACACAATGTACCTTTTGTGTTTTATATATTCAACATTATCATTTTCTATGGCAAAAGCGCCCTCACTTTCTTTGACGGATTCTCCTAGCCATTAAAGACTATAGTACCTTTGCCTTAGTTCGTCTTTTTGACTGTGCTTGTCCGCTGAGCTCCCCTGGGTGTCCTCTACGGTTTCAGGTGAGCTGATGAGGGTCGGGGAAAGCTGACACATGGAAAGACGCCTGTTTGGAGCCTCCATGCTGCCTCGGCCACTGCTGGCGTAGCTGCTGTAGCTGCTCCCGGACTCTGGAACTCCCTCGTAGTCTCCCGCCTCCACTTCAAACGCCTCTTGGTTGATGTTATTGGGGAGCATACATGAGGAAGGTTTCTTCAAGACACAGCCTTCTTCCTTCATCGACTCCCGATAAGCCACTGCGCATTTGGCACCGTCATCTGAAGGGGATGTAGAAATCCTTGGATCATAGGAGTGGGACATGCTGGGATTAGGTACCAGTCTATGCGGACTGCTGCTTGAAGATAAATGGTCCATAACAGGTGGTGAATTTAGGGTGGTTTGGATAGCTGGTGGAGAATTTGAAGGCGATTTGGAGCTATTCCCCTGAGGGGAGCTGTGAGATTTCCATAAAGGTAAGTCCGTTTGACTGGAAGATGCAGCAGAGGAGTTCCTCTGGCTCAGAGTGTCTACCCACGCATCTGGGGCGAGAAAACCCCTTCTCTTGTCCCTCCTCGATGGTAGGCTCTGACTTCGCTGCTTGGGGTCCCAGACGTTCGAAGCCAGGCTCACAGACCTCCACCGATCCGGCTCAGAAAGTTGCAGAGATCGTTGGACCCCGGTCACGTCGTCCACTGAAGCACGGCTCCGGCTGTCCAGAATCGCGCTCCTCCTCGCCGCTTCCGGTCGGCCTCTTTGAGCCAGCGAGCACCCGTGCTGTACATGAGAGGAAATTCTGTGGTGCAGCATGTGCTTCACGGGCCGTGATACAAACGCCTCGATCTCTGGCTCATCGACGCTCATCTCGACGCTCAGGTTTTCACCAGCGGGTTCAGGGAATGTTGCCTCCAATCTCGAGGAGTCGCGCGCAGCTTCAAGAGTTGAATTGCATCTTTCATCGTATCTATTGATACTGAAAGTTGAAAAGCTGCCATTTCTAGGATCGTTCTGTCTCTGCGCCTCAGAGCACGAATCGTTCGACTGACTGCCTTTGGATTGAGCTAAATCATAATAGCCCTCTGGTGATGCCTGTGCACGTTTAAGTCGTTGCCGCTTTGAGGGGAGGCTTGGGATAGTTAAACTGCCTTTCTGGAAACCGCCATCTTCCTCAGACTGGACTGGTTGTTTGTCAAAAAGTGGATGAGCGGGACTGTTGGACGTAAAATAAGAAGGAGTGAAAGGTGAGGAGGTGCTGAGGTGCTTCTTTGGCAGCATCAGATTTGGCTGGGAACCAGGATTTTGGCTGTACCAGTGGACAGAAGAAGACATCGAAGGGCTCGGAGACAGAGGAGAGTTTTCCTTGATACCCTTGTGATATCTACTGGGCAAAGTGCTGCTCCTGTATTCCCATTCAAGCTTCTCATCAGTGCCCCCCCTTCTATCTAGGTCTAGTTGCCCACTCTTCATTTCCCCCAAGGAGTTTCTGTCTATCGTGTATCTCTGGAGCTCCTTCTCGAGTTCTTCCCTCTCCTGGGCCAGTTTCAGACAGCGGCTCAGGTTCCCCGTCTCGCGCTCGTGTTCCATCTGCAGCACCAGAGCACTCGCTGTGGTCGAGGGCTGACCGAAGCCTGCTCGGATATGAGGGAGCACGGGAAACGTGGGGGATAGTGGTCTGTGGTGATGATGACGCACGGTGGCCAGACTACTGCTGGAACACATGCTGCCAAGATCGGGGAAGCAGTCGTAGCTCTCCATCTGACTCACGGCAGGCGGGCTGCGATGTGGCAGGGAGGCTGTTTGACTTTTGGAATCATCCACCGTTTTGCATGGTGGGAAATCAACCGAAAGCACAAACGGTCGCTCTTTCATGTCTTCCCCCTCCGACTGCAGGGACACCGACCTCCTGACCGCAGAATATTGGTCGTATCTCACTTTGCTTATGCTGTCGATGGTCAAGGTGTCGTGATCATAGGGTGGCATGGTGAACCGCCCGTCGGGGCCTCTAGATATCAACTCGATTGAAGGGGAAATTAGAGAGGTCGTCTTCGTGAGGCGTCCTCTGCTGTAGTTGGACGTGAGGTGCTTGCGTCGATGATGATCGTCAACGCTGAGGGAGGAACCGTCTGTTTGCGAGGAGGAGGTGGTGATGGTGGAGGAAGTTGTGGCGTAGAGGGAGCTGGCCGGGAGCAGGTTTCTCTTCAACAAACTGTCTGGACTGCTGCTGCCTGAAGTCTTTCTGTGAGAGAGAGAGAGAGAAAGGGGGGTTGAAGGGGTGACGGGAGAAAAATTGTAAGAAAAAAAACGAGCTGTACGAGGGAGAGAAACACAGCCTGCAAAAACAAGACGGGGTGAGAGTGAAGGGAGGGGGCGGGAGAGATGTAGACAGAGGAAGACGAAGGCAACGGCGATAAGATGAGGGAGAAAAAGTGAAAGTGCTGGCATTTCCAACACAGTCTTACAGAATGAAAGGGAAAGGTCAAAGAGAGGCTTCACAATGAAATGATAAAGGGGGTACTTACATTGATGTGGAGCATTTATAGATGGCGGGAAGGGGTTCTGAAAGGGATGAAGAGGTGGAATATGGTATCTGGCTCATTAGGATACAACCACACTGACCAAGATGTAAAAACATAATCAACTCTAATAAGAGCCCATTAAAGGGCCCAAGGCACCTAAGCTCATCCAAAAGTTAATTACACCTACATTTGTCAGCCACTAATGAGAAATTACCCTAATTAGCCAGTAATGTAAATGGCATCAATAACTTTTACAACAGGATGGACAAGGAGAGCTCCGAATCCATGAAGGAGGTTATGATTTATGTCATGGCTAGGAAGTGCCTTCAATATTTTATTGAATAAATGATGATATTCATGATGCAGTTAATCAAAGTGAGTGTCTTCTGAGTCTACAGAGTGAGGGCGAAGGGACCTTACCGGTCTTTTTCCTTCTGCGCTGTTGGTTCCTCCTGCGGCTGATGACACAGGCGGACCCCAGCAGCAAGACCAGCGCCAGGCACATGAAGCCGAGCCCACCGAGCACGCCCACCAGCAACGACCCCGGGACGAACTCCAGGAGCTGGGATGTGGCCGGGTTTGACATCTCCATCCCTGCAATATCATTTAAATTGTGATGGATATTGCAAATGGATTCAAAGAAAGGAAAATGTAGTTTTAAACTAAAGTTGCAAAGTGTTGACTGTAAATATGAACCATAATGAAATTAACCTTTCCTCCCCATCCTTTCATATTTAGTTTCCCAGAACCCAGACTTTATTGTTATCCCTTGAATTAATCTTGAGTCACACTTCTCCATGCTTCCGTAATCTCAAAGTTATCAAAGTTTCAAAGTTTTTATTTGATTTTTTTCTGTTTGTCACTCATTTTCAACCCAGTCCCTGTACCTGAATGTTGGTAAATTGAGTCACTCTTGTTAAGAAATGTAACACTGATCTTTGAATCATTCATCCAGACAAAGGAAAACTAAATCAAAACATGAACAGTGACGTAGGTACACATACCAGAAAAATTAACGAGGAGGTCATTTTAAATGGAATAGGAAATTGCACACACACACATTATGTTCTTTTCCTTTGAGGTGTTTCTGTGAAAAATGTCAAATGTGATTCAAAACTAGACTTTAGATTAAATCTAGCCAGGTCGCAGGACCTGCCGAGACCCTGCTACCTGCAGGTCCTGGGATTGTGTTCAGTGCTATCTTTAGTGTAAAAGATATGGGAAGACACAATAAGCAGGGGGACAAAAAGAGGAGTGTGTGGCCTAAAAACTGCATTTACAGCAGGTGATCGGTGTGAAAATGGTATCAAACAAAAACCTGAAGCAGGGCCTGAGGGATGGATCTGGACCTACTGCTGATCTGTCCTTTGTCATTCATATGGAATGGAATCATGGAGATAAAGCTGATCCAACACCTAAAAATTAGTAACGAAGCGTGTGATAATGTTGGCACAAAAAGACCATAAAGCATTCAATATCCAAAGGTCTAAACGATATCCATCTATACCTCAACACTAGTTAAAGAAAGAACAAAAAGCTTGCTTGAGAGGGTTCAGACTGTATTGAAAAATAAAGGAGCTCATACCAAATATCACCATGCTCCAGAAAGTGCTAAAATCAATTCATAAAAATCTACTCTCGATACATTCTATTTGCTCTTGAGATTAATGTGATTATATGTTATAATAAATGCTATAGAAATAAGTTTGATTCATTTAGAACATTTGGAAAAATGTCTTTGTTTTTTTTACATAGAGACATAAAGACTTATTTGTCAAGTTCACCATTATAAATGATCTGTTCCGACTGACTGGCCTGCAGGACTTGCATATTGTCTTGAACCCGCATCACGTCATTACACCTACAAGGCATTTACATGATTGAGACGGATCACCGGTTGGAGGTGGATTTAATCGCTGATCTACATCCCTCGTGAATGTCGTTATCGTCGTCAGATCGTGAGCACATTTGTCGAATGGGCTCAGTGAGACACCAAGCAGAGATAATCGGCAGAGTAGAATGAAATCCATGGTTGTGGCTGCAGCGGCGGTCCTTGGTGGGATAACACCAGTGGGAATGGAAGAACACTTTGATTCCAGTCTGCGTCCTATATCTAATGTAACTTTCATGTCACATTCACGTAAATTGCGGAAAAAATAATCATTCTTAGCACTGCCGAGCGGTTATTAGAAGAGCTATTTCCGTCGCCCGGGCTTCTAATGGGCAGCCATCCCTGGAGCCCTGCTCTAATTTTGGTCTAACGCTGGTAACACAGGGACAGAGGAAACATGGAAAGCGTGTGAAGAGTCACTCAAGGAGACCCAGAGAGAGAGGAGGGTGGTTGGAAACAAAAGGTGGGGCAGGGCTTTTGAAAGAGCCGGGCTCGCTCTTGTACACCTACCAGTGGTGGAGACATTGACTGATGGACTGGGTTCGCTCAGCAACTCCCCGTGACGAGAAAGCAGCCGCAGCTCGTACACGCGGTCCTGAGGCCGCCGTCGGCATACACACACACGTAAACACACACACACACACACACAGCAGGAAGGACAGAGGATGAAACACACTTTGTCAACACGTGACTGTGCCTGCAATGCTAATGAAGTTCATTTGAATTCATGTAGGCCCATACAGGAGAGAGAGAAAAGGATAGATGAAACAGGCACCGTGAAGAAAACAGGCAACGCACACAAGTGAGAACCAAGGCAGAAAAGTGATGACTGCCATGTAGTGCGCATAATTAAAGAGTGTACAAAATAAAATCACTGATGTATAGCTTAGGCTAAAACAAGCAGAATTGATGGATTGGTTACAGAGGGATCAGAACAGCAGGATCGTTACCTTTTGCAGACCCGGAATCACTATTTCGCTCTCGTTGGCACTGATGTCTTCATCCAAACTAAACCACTCCCCTCCCTCGGTGCGGGATTGGAGAACAAAGCCTGTGATGGGCGGCTGCTGTGCTTCAGGAAGGGACCATTGTAGGATAACACCTGCTGGGTCCTGATTAGCAGACAGCAGCGCGGGGGGCTTTAGTTTATTTCTGCTCGGCGGAGGATCTAATGCGGAGAGAATGAGAAAGGCTTTCAGTCAATCAGTGTGATACATTCTGGCGGAAAAATTAAATTACGGCAGAGGAAATTGCAGCTGACACGAGTGCTCAACCTTGAGCACTGGAAGGAGCAAAGAACAGTCTGATGTTAGTTCTTTTGCAGTCCGACAACTCTAAAGAGTCGCTTTGCTATCCAAAACACGAGAAAAACTATCTAGTTAGTGCTGTAAATACGGACTGGAGACGCAAGTTCAAAGCAAATAAAAATTAATTACTTAATCAATATTAATTAACACACTGACGTATGATATTATAATATTATTGTCAAAAATAGCATATATATCTTCATAATGGCATTACCCATCGAAAACATTCACTCGTAATACTAGTATTGAAAAGAAAAATAAGAAAAACAACATTTGCATACTAACCTAAGCAGTGTTCATTTAATGTCAGGTTATGGTGGAAAAATTGAACAGCATTGCTTTTAAAGGAAGTAGAACCTACAATTTATTTCTTGTACACATCAAATGTTAGCATTATCTTTAGTTTCTCTAAAAGGTATTCTATTGTTAGAGACTACAATCTCCACTTCTCTGTGAGAAACAAACAAATTGCCTGCACTGTGCCATATAGTTTAAAGAACTGCTAGTACATTTTATGGTTGATGGCTTTAGTAGAGGCAAACATAAATTCTGTCGATTTATCTCATGTCTAACAGCAGATGCATCATCAAAGGCATTTTCATCATCCCTCAGATGTCGACTCTCTGCACAAAATGATTAAAATGTTTCCCACAGAAATAAATGGAATTTAACAGAGCAAAACGTCCGCTGCCCCATTCTTTAAAAGGTTAAAGAAGAGAACAAGCCATAATTTACATACAATTAGTGAGGACAAGAGAAGCAGTTTCTTTCCAACACAGTATCCACGTTGAATTTAATGTAATATTTTGATATTACTTGAGGGGCTGAAAATCATGTTACATTCAAGGATTCACTCTACATCTAGAAAGCAGCATATACTGTACAATTAACAAGAAACTTAGGAGTTGGATTGTTTTTTATTTTATCTCACAGCTTTGATGACCTTTAGGTTTATTTTAGTAAACACTTGCTAATTAAGGCAATCGAGCAATAAAATGTGAATGGGATAAAGGATGACTCAAAGCATGGTCTGTGGAAAGTTCTCTGACAGTAACAGTGACAATTCATGGGGCTGGAATAAACAAATGCCAGCCTCCGGGGTCCCTGGCCTAGTAGACATAAAACATAACACCGATTTCTACAATCAGATTGGATCAAAACTCAGAAACAGGCCGCAGTTGATTCTGAATTATATTCTTCTACATAATTCTATTTAGATTCTGTCCTGGAAAAAGCACATCTGGATATAGAAAACAATTTTGGATACTTGGATATTTGGGATACTTTAAAATAATGTAATAGGATACATTTGTCTTTATCTAATGTTTTATGTTTCATTACTTTGAAAATTAATTTTCCTTTAAAACTTACTTAAACAACTGTAAAAATAAAATCAATAAACATTGAGTTATTACCCAAACCAAAATGGTTTTGGTCAAAACCAGAACGAATAAAAACCAATCTGATTGTTAGGACCTTCTGTCTGATCAATACAGAACAGACAAAACTTTTCGAATAACTGGGAAATGCTACAGGTTTCATCCTGTGGGCACAATAGACATGCAATTTCAGAGCATTTCTATGTCAAAGATGCACATTTTTATATGGAAGAACTTGTCATGAACTAATATAAAATCCAAATAAACACACTGGGAAGAGATTTTGCACTAATAACCGTATTCAATATTGTGAATATTCCAATCAGACCTAAACCCTAGCATTCACAGAGGAAGTCAGTTTATCTATAAAAATGCTTTTAGAGATGGAAATAAACTCCAGACTAAAATGTTAATTACAAGTTTGATTTTTGGCATTAGAGGCTTTACTTTTCTTTTTAGCTTTTCAGACTATTGCAGTGGCGGCCGGCCCATAGGGGGCGCTGGGGCGCCGCCCCCCCTAGATGTGGAGGGGGAAAGTTATAATATATATATTTATTTTTAAAGTATTATCAATGTCAGTTTTACTTAATAATATGTGGCTACATGTAATATGAATTATTAAAACAACACTTCCACCAACTGACTCTCATTCAACGGTGCATTTTCACCCACAGAACGTATCGTCTCTCTTCTGGGGCACTAGCCCCAAGCGCCCCAGAGGTGCAGCGAAATAACCAATTGAAAAATGTTGCTAGGGACAATTAATAAATATTTGGCCAATCAGCATCGCCGAAATTATTGGCTTTGGGGCGCTTGGAGCTGGCGCCCCAAAGCCATAGACGTGTAGCTAGTGGTCAGTCAGGCTGTGACGTAGAGATGACGGTTGAAGAGCTGCTTTCACACAATTCAGTGAGATCTTTACTGAGATCTCCTTACGTGAGAAGGACAATGGTGGAAAAATTAAACGTAAAGAAGCTGGGACCTGACAAGTCCGAAATAAATTTAACGCAGCGAACCAATGAAAAAGCTAAGTCCCACAGCCGGCCTTTTAGCAGGAGCTGGTTCCAGCGTGAGTCCTGGTTGACAGCCGGTGGGACGGCCAACGCAGTTATGTTTTTCCCGCATCCTTTTTAAAAGTGACCGGAGTGATTTGACGTGGACACAGTCTGGACAGACAGACTTAAAACACCTCTCTGAACAACTAAAAACATGAAAGATCACGAGGTTATATGGAAAACTGTGTTAAGCTAACTGTGTTAAGCTAACCACCTGTGTGTCTACTTTGTGTGTTTGGTGAAAAATAGTAAAATTGAGTGTTGTATTTCATACTGTTCCCTTCCAAAATAATACCTAATATAGCTTCAAATGGCTAACTGTATATGTAAACTGCTGATTCTGATAAGGGAATTAAATCATTATTGTGGAATTGTACTAATTTTACGACTTTTAACTTGAATGCATGTACTGGGTTAGGCAGGGAAATATATTGGCACACCAGCCCCACCAAGATTTTTTTTCACCAGCCGCCACTGGACTATTGTTAAAGCTGCCTTAAACGTTTAGCCTATGCTATCAAACGACAGTGGAATTCAGCATAACTACCTTTACTTGTTTTTTCTGTGTTCAGTCACACAGGAAATGATGGAAAATTACTGTACTTAGCCAATGTCCATGTAACCCTATCCTCTCATACCCTCTGAACTACATCCAGACAGTAACAGAGTAAATAAAAAATCTGGCTCATGGTCAATTAGCACAAGTCACCTACAACCACTTCAGTTCTATAAAAAAAAGTGAAATGGATACTCTGGAAGTGAAATTTAGAGACTTAGTTATTGGAACAAAAGGTAAAACTCATTAATGCAGCAAACCTGATTCCCTAAACTAACATTGGATAGACCTTTGCCTACCAAGCTGACCCTGCAGAACAAAAAAATAATAAAATAAACTAAAATCGAACTAGCTTTGGGGGGCCAAAACACACGCTGTGAAATAATACCTTTCGAGGTCAAAGTTGAGGCCAGACAAGTATACAAACCAACTTAGCTGAGTTTGATTTTGACCTGAGGGTAATTAATTCAGACAATTTCTTACATTTTATAGGTGCTAACTCACTGAATAAATAAAAATGGAAATAAATGGTTTTGTTAGTGCTCGTATTTGACTGACCCAGGGTCTTCGCAGTTGTGATCTCACTGAAGGGCCCTGTCCCGATCTTATTCTGGGAGAGAATGCTGAACTGGTACTCAGTGGCAGGAGAGAGTCCTGACACCTGCAGCCTGGTGCCAGATGAGAGAGGAACCAGCACAGAGAACCAGTCCTGTTCCCCTTCATTATCCCCAGCGGAAATCTTCTTCCCCCTGCACAGACGGAGAGACCCAGAGAAAAGAGTGAGAACAAAAAGTGGCAGGGAACTCTGGTTTTATGGAACATGACAGAAAAGTAGGTTTCATTAATCATTCATGCTCATCATCAGTTTGAGATATTGTGGCAGAGACAGCACTGATGTATTCCCGAAATTGCACAGAGAGCTTGCTGGTCCAATTATGAGTGATTTTCATGTCTCTGCCAAAGCTGAGGTTCTACATAGTTATTTGAACCCTAGGCCTTAAAAGAAAAACTTCTCCACCTATTCAAAAGTGGAGAAAGAACGTTCAAGTGAAGCTTTTATTTTATTTAGTGCCGTGGCAGCTTTTGTCCTGCGTATAAACCATGGTGCAATTAAATGTCTCTTTTACGCACACAAGTGCAATTCAGCACAGATAATGGGTGCTACTACGCATGATGGAGGTCTCTTCCCCAAAGCAAAATAGAAGAGCAGAGAGTAGAAGTCAAGAGCTTGTGGCGTAGATACATTTTTTTTTCGTACCATGGAAAGAGCTTTTATGTGCGAGCGCTGAATGTGGTGTGAAAAACATGTGCCCACAGCACTGTTGTCGCTGGCAAATAGTGGATCATTTGGTGAACTCCTCAAAGTGCCAACAAACCTGACTGCTCTCGCTCAGTCGACGTGAAATCTAATTCCAGTTGAAATGTCAAAGTGGATAACTTTCACACTGTATCATGTTAAAGCTCTCTGAACTATTGATCTTTTGCCTTTTCTCATAATGGAGTGTTCTCTCTTATACCACGGGTCAAAACATTTAAAGTTGTCAAAGCCAAGGTGAGACACCTGGAGATTTTTTAAACTTATTTGAAAATCCATTATTTATTTTCCAACCAAATCAGTAGACACTACTAAACGATTTACCCATTTCCCTCTCGGGAACAGAGACGTGTTATCTTACGATAAGAATTAGAAGTTTTAAGTACGTATTCAGAAGCTTAAGATATTAAAAAGGTTTAAAAAAAATACATTGATTAAATATATACAGTTTTGTATGTGAAAGTCCAATTAAAAAACTATGTTTCGATGAAAAGCTAACATTCCCTGTATTGAAGAATATCTCTACTACAGTGGTTTTATCAAAAACGTGTAAAACCTTCAAGCAAACTAAATACATAAATCTACAGTTTCTAATCCATCATAACAAAGACTCAAAAAAGAATTCAAACAACTCTTTTTTATCCGTTAAGTAGCTAGCGCGGCCACTGTATTTTGGAGTTGTGCGCTGCAGCATTTTTTCTTTTTTCTTTTATTGTAGCTGCCAAGAGGTGATAACATATAAATGAAGTCCTCATCCTAGAGATCAATAGAGTAATACCAGGCGCTGTAGATGGCTGCCATGGTTACAGCCCGAGAAGAAAGTAGGAGGCTTAACACCCACCAAACTGAAAATGTCTGTGCTGATCCTCCATCAAAGCCAGCCTCCCAGGATATGTTGGCCTGCCTCACCCCTGGAGAGACGGACAGAGAGGTAGCCGCATGGGGACTGGTTCCTGTAATGGAGTTAGTGGAGAGGATGGTTGATGGAATTCGGCCAGCACTTCAACTATCCGATACAGCGAAAGTTTAGAGGCCATCTCTTGATGTGCCACATTTATACATCGGAGGCGGAGTGGAGGCACAGGCATCCAGAGAACAGCTTTACACAGGTGCATAGAAATAACAATTTGGGAAAGAGAAGTTGAGCTAAAAACAAAAAAAAAGTGTGGACGGCTCACGTAACCAATTTCTCCTTTTAGCGCCGTTAGATGGGACTCACCCAGGACAAAGACGTGTGTGCGGGCCTTCACTGTGGCTACGCGGTTAGAAGCGCTGCACTCCCACTCCCCGTGGTGGTCTTTGGTCAGGGGCTGCAGCAGCAGGGACCCGTTGGGTTCGATCGCGTAAACGATGGGACGGACCACGTCGATCTAATGACAGCATCCATATATATATCACACAAAACTCCAAACCCGAGATATTATCCCCAGAATTACATGGCACAAATGACGAAACATATTCAATGCAAATAACTGAAACATAGTTAATTGGTTAAACTCTGACAAACACGATACATTTTTAGTAATACTGCTTTTTTTATCCAACATGCAATGCAGTCAAAGTGGATAAGAAATCTACTTGAACTGGTTATTAGATCTCACAAGGAACCTAAGACATGTAGTTTCAAACCCATCCCTGCACTTCATCCTTTTGTTTTATGGCCCTTTGACATATTTATGAGTTTTTAATGGTACCTTTGTGGCCTACTCAACATGCCAACAAATGTGATCTACAAACACGCACACAACAAACGTATATGGTTAAATACACAACTCACGACAAGTTTGGGATATATTCGGCTTTTAGGAAAAAAATTCAGGATGTAGCTAAAATGCACTAAAACCTTTACAGGTGAACTTAATGTGACCTTCTCCAAACTTTTGAATCCACATGTCTACCTGTTCAATGTTTCAGTAGCAGCCAAATATCTGTAACTTGTCATGAGTTGTGTATGTTCAGGGCTCAAATAGTTCCTCCCGAGAGGTACGGGAGGCTAAGGGGCAAAAACTTGCCTGAGAACTTTTTACTTCGACGTACGGCCTTTCACTTGCTATTACAGATGTGTTTATCTTTGTATCAAAAGAGAATTAACTTGTATTAAGAAACATTTACCCACTTATGTAAGAGGGATTAAAACACCAACAGCGTTATCTGGTTGGATTAGCCTTCCTTTGAGAAGCAACGTTTTTATGATTTCAATAACAGGGACGTGCTTTAAACTGCTTACACAATGGCTCTTATGAAAAAATAAAAAATAATGTTATGCTAAATCTAAAGCAATAAACTTGGTGTTATCGCCTTTGTTATGGTTTAAGCGGGTCTAGTTTTTCGACTGAATGCGCTGATGATGAATGGGCTGATCATGTTGTCATTTCCAGTGTGGAGCCGTCTCTGAGAGGTCTAACAATGTGTTCGCAGTCCTCAAACTAGTGAAATGGAGGTTTTTGTCACCTCTCCAATGCTTTTTGTCTCTGGTTCAAATTAAAGGTATGAACACAATGACAGTATACATGGAAACTGAGGAAATTACACAGATTTAACTGTCAAACTAAAAGAAGGTAAATGGTTATATTGTAAAAATGAAATGAAGCACACTCCAGAGTTGCTTGGGAATTAATATATTCTGTGCTCCTCTGGTGAGCTAAACAAACTTTTTGCCAGCGTTAGAAAGGCATAACTCCTGCATTATATTTCTCTGACAGCTAGTGCTGCACAAAACCTAAGGCCAAGTGTGGTTTTATGGGATGGGAGGGGTTCCCTCAGTCCGCCTGAAACATGTGTGATAGTACAAATTCATGTATACTGGATAAGTTACAATAAGTCTAATGGCCGCAGGATTGCAATATGGTTTTCTGGCTTCTTTTCCCAACCGGAGAACTATTTACCACGTTAAAAACCATAGATTTAAATACATCCAGACACAATGTGATGTCTGTTTAATACTATATAGGTTATTCAATGACAAGAAAGTTGATCTCCCTCCACATATACTCTAACTCCCTCCCTGAATCCTTAGGTAAATTCCTCCATACTATCCCGGTTGACAAAGCGCAAGGGGTGGGTATACCCCCTTGACAATTCACCAGTCCATCGCAGAGCAACAAAGACTCACACCTAGGGGCAATCTGGGTCTAATTAACCTAACATGCATGTTTTTGAACAGTGGGAGGAAGCCAAATTACCAGGAGAGACCCTAAAAATAATCAGGGAGAACCCTTTTGCTGTGAGGTGACAGTACTAACCTCCAAACCACCAGCTCCAAGTCAATTAACTATATCCATTAATATGATTAATAATAACCATGAAAATATTTATGTTAAACTTTTTTGCAACCAAAGTATGATTTTCGGTCTTATCTAAGCTGTCTCCATCCCCCTATGATCTTGCTAGGAGTGAGAAGTATATCAAATGCTGGATGGATCTATAGTTTTCTATCAAATCTATATGTCACACGATTATTAAGTTAGCAGAAAATTGGCTACAGTGGGATTGTTGATTTATTTGCCCACAATCCCGACCAGTTAAGATCTTTTTAAAATCATTATAAGGCACAGTTAGCATGAGCAATGTTCAAAGAGAGGGTCAGTACAAGCAAAGATAGGGGAACTGTGTGTTGTTATTCTCCAGGTCCTTCAAAATCTTTATTCCGATACCAGAAAAAACAATATTTATAAATCCATTCCATCTTGTTTATTCCAGCCATGTTTTGATGTATGTTTGATTCCTTTTGTTCATATTAAAGCTAGGATGTGAACTTGGAGGATTCGTTATGTTGGTAAGAAGTCAACTTTATGTACATTTTCACCTGAACACCTTTTTATTGCAACAATACCTCAGTGCATTTTCAAAATATAAAACTCATATTCTCAGGGAAATGAAAAAAACATGACATAAATCCACACAGAATGTGATCTACCTTGCTCCAGGTCACTTTAATTGTTGGCTCGGCGTTTCCTTGACAGGGGATAAGCAGTGTTCCACCAGCGTCTTGTTTGTATTGCTTCTCTGGAGCGATGCTGAATGATGGGGGGTCCTGTAAATTGCCAAAGCAATATAGCTGAATCAAGGGAGATTGCGGCAATGCCAACAAATGGATTTCAAGACTGAATGCCTGCTGCTTTGGACAAGATTATCTTAATAACAGAAGGATTAGTCTCACAATTAACGTCCCACCAGTGCCATCATTGTGGTGGCGGCCTTGGCTGACTTCTTATTAATGTCAGGGGGCAAACGCATTAGTTTGAAAAGGTCAACAAAATGTTGTTTCCGCCGGGATTTTTAATTGACTGTGACAGATGCAGTCGCGGATAGTTAGGAGACATCAGACTCAACGGTAGAGAATAGAGCGATGGATTAAATGGCAGTTTGTGGGTATTCGGGGCATGTTGGAGTGTTTTTTGGGGCAGAAAATGCGTTCGACTTCTGGTGACGGATTACGGTGCCTTCATGCGGCGCTCGGTGTAAATCGAAGCGCACAAACTAACCTGTAAAATGACGCTGGTCGGCCCCGAAGCGCCCATGCTGCCGTAACCATTGTGCGGAGTGCACGTGTACGTGCCGGCCGCGTCCTCGTTGACCGTCGCCATGACCAGAGAGCCGTCGGCTTTCAAGGCCCATCCCGGATACTGAGAGAAAATCAATCAATCAATCAATCAATCATTGTTTTTTTATATAGCACTTTACAACAACCGGAGCTGATCAAAGTGCTTCACAGAATAAAAACAGATCAAACTATCGAAATACACAAAGAACAAACACATCGGTGACAGAACCCAGTATACAGAGACCCTACGTGCAAAAAAGCCATCCTGAACAAATACGTTTTGAGTTGAGCTTTGAACAGTGGTAGGTCAGTAAATGAACGTAACTCAGTGGGCAGAGAGTTCCACAGTTTAGGACCTGCCACTGCAAAAGAGCGGTCACCCCACTGCTTGAACCTGGACCGTGGGACCTCCAGCAGATGTTGACCAGCAGACCGAAGTGGTCTTCTGGGCTGGTGAAACCTCAGAATTTCACTTATATACAAAGACGCGAGGCCATTAACTGATCGAAAGACAAACAACAGTATTTTGAATTGAATTCTGTACTGTATCGGGAGCCAGTGTAGGGAGTGGAGGACAGGTGTGATGTGGTCATGTCTACGGGGGTCAGTAAGGAATCGGGCAGCTGCATACTGTACTAGCTGAAGGCGATGGAGGGATGTTTGACTTAGTCCAAAGGCTCTGTTATTGCACCACTCTGATTACCGCAAAAAGAAAGGGGAAAAAAAGCAATCACAATCATGATGGACAACTCTGCTGCTGGTTGTGTGCAGGAAGATTTAGAGAGAGCTGGAAGGCAGGGATTCTGTAACCTCTCCACAGCAGCATTTGAGCTCCCTCAGCTGTGTTTGAAGGATTTACAGAAATACTTTGAAACTTCACTCACCATAAGGCACTTCCAATCTTCTTTGAAGATATGCATTTTTATTTGGTTGGAGTCCCAAGTTTTCTTTTAAGGCAGCAGATTTATTTTTCCTCTGATTACAAAATTAGAATTGAAAAAATCTGCTTTTGTGCTAACACATCCTAACAAAGATAATAGACAGCTTTCATGATCACTTGTGGAGTATTTACATGAATAGCCGAGGGATTTTTTTGCTGTTTTTTCCACACAGAAATCCGGAAGGAAAGACGAGGGTCATGGTTTGGCGGCTCAAAAAGGTTCCCACTCATTTTAATAAACTGAAAACCCTTATCATTCTACCTACATGAAAGCTGTAACTACATCCGTGTGTGTGTGTGTGTGTGTGTGTGTGTGTGTGCGAGCTTGTGACATCCACAGTCGAATTAGAATAATTGGCAGAATAACAGCCTGACTCCAGCCCCCATGTCCTGCTCCACAGGAATTTATCACATCTCCCATGGTGCATCTGATCCACAAACGTGCCAGTTGCTCGCTCCAAAGTGCCGAGGGCCCAGCATGGAAATGTTGGGGGGGGGGGGGGGGGGGGGTTGCGGGTTGAAGTTTAAGCATAGGCTGAAAAAATATGATTTTTTAAAACCTAATACAGATAAACCTCAAACTCGAATAGAGAGAAAGCGGGGAAATATAGTTTTCTCTGCTTAAAAAAAAAAGGATGACAGGGGTTAAACAAAAAAATGCAGGGACGGCCCTAATCTGTAATGCTTCCATCACTCTTCCTTGCAAATAAGAGAGTAAAAGATCGAAGAGAAAGAGCACAGAGAAAATGAGAGACCACGGGGGCGGAGAGGTATTCCTTTGAGATTGCTTCTAAAGCTTTTACCCTGATGCATTAAAATCGGAGTGGGATTGGATGACCTTCCGCTGAAAAAAAATTAGAGCACAATTCCATCAGTAAGAGAAGGAAATGCCCCATTAACGTTCCACTCTTTTTCTTTTCCAGAAAAAGGAGGCCCAGAACTGTGACCGCTGTTTTTCAGGGGGAAATATGAACGGGGTCAGACAAACTTTGGGCACGACTGCGAGGCGTCCGAAGGTGTTCTGACCGCACGCGCGCAAACAACAGGGAGAGAGATTCAAGCGTTAGCCTCACAGTGAAGGTTACACACTCGGATTTTGGAGTAATCGTCATTACCAAGGACAAGTCAAGAGGTTCTCCATCTTTTGTCCAGTCCACACGGAGCAGTGGAGGCTGAGCCACAACGGGGCAAGTGACCATTCCCTCCATACCGGTGGGAAGGTATGTTTCTCGGGGCATCTGGAGAGCCTGAGCTGGATCTGAGCACAATTAGAAAAGAGAAATAGTTTAAGTAGATCCAGATTCCTATAAAAGAAAGCTCAATTGTGATACAGAAATTCTCACTGGTGTGTATAGAATTCAAAACACATGATGAGAACCTTAACATTAAAACTAGTAAGTCATTCATATGTTGACAAATGTGTTGACATTTACAAAGTTCAGTTTGATATAACCACTATGCTTCCCACCTTTTTTTTTTTTATCTTAACTTCTGAGTTGTTTTCATTTCCTTTCCTGTATCGTGGCATTTTTAGGACTTGACCTTATCTGTTTTTAATAAATGTTTTGAGCTAAACCCAGCTGTCTTTATCACATGGAAATATCAAAGGTGCATATTACCGGATCACTTTAACCTGTAAAAGAAATCTTACAGTGCAGTACTTCTCTGTGTTTTGTGAACCATGTAGATTGTAATTGTCATTATATCTAAAAGTACAAATCAAAAGGGATGAATAGGAAATATGGTTAATTCTTTAGGTTAGCAAAATACAGTGAAAGGGTTCTTTTGCCTTTCTATTGCAGTAGAAATTGGACAGAAAACGTGTTAGTGGCCTGTTTTCCGAGCTGCTACTTACTCATTGATGATGAACATTCAACCAAACAGACCAGAAGCATGGGTTTGTTCTGTTTTTGGTATTGTTAGGTTAAAAGCCCCTTGCTGGGCCTCCATCACTCCCTTTGTTATGTTGGTGTATTAGGCTACAAGCCCTGAGGCTGGTAGGTACATCATTAAAACCATTCGTCATACCCATGTGCTATTTTGCCCAGTTTCAGCAGAAAATATGTAATGGCTACATCTGTCCACTCGTGAAAATTGTGAGATGGCAAGGTATCCCTCTGTGTTGTGTAGTTTGGCACCAAGTCTCAAGAGGGAGTGACAGAGCGTGGAATCAGGAAATTATTGATTCCCAACATGATTGGGAAGGTTGGCATGTGGAAAAGACAGGAGACAAAAGACAAGATCAGTTGGTCAAAAGCTAAGGATTATTGAGGCTATTTATCCCGTTGTCTCTTCATCAGCTACCAAACCAAACAGCACAATGTCAGAAGTGAGCAATGTGGATCAAAATGAGTTTGGGAACATGTAATTTATAGAATGGATTTATTCTCTCTTTAATTAGATCAGTTTAGAGTTTTCTATCCCCTTTATGGGAGGTAAGGCAGCTGGAAGCAATTTTTAGAATTTATTTTTGGTTTTAGTTTGTAACGTTTTAACTTCATGACAGCTTTTTAATGCTGGATTTCTGTTTATATTTTGATTATATAAATCTCTGAATTTTCTTTCAATTAACTCATAATTGTTATTTTAAGTTTTTACCATTTTTTTTGGAGAGGTTAAGTGGATTAGCAAGTGACAATTGGCTGTTTTTTACTGGCATATGCAACTGGGGAAGAAAAGTACTAATTAAGCCCAAAACATTTATTTGAAAAACACATCAACTTCAATTTGACATTTTCTTTAATCATATTTGTGTAAAGATCATGGTGTTTGATAGTTTCACTGAATATTTAGTACATATAATATCATAAAAAGATGTCTTTTGCAAACATATGAGAAACTAATTCACTCACAGCCACAGAGCACACACACACATACGTACGCATCACTGTGAGGATGGCGGAGGCGGATGGGGGGGTCAGCAGGCCGTTGGTCGGAGTACAGGTGTAGTTCCCCGAGTCCTCTGGGATGAGACCGGAGATAAGCAGAGTCCCATCCACCATGATCTTCACACGCGACTTCAGAAACCTTTAGAGAACACACACGTGGGAATTCATCAGCATGAAAAAATAAAAAACCGACCAATGCAGAGAAAGATTGAATAATCCACCATCCCCTTCCTAGTAAAGCCAAACAGGCTCTCAAAGAATCAGCAGTGGTATTATTCTCCTTTCCCCCCTTATGTGAGTTATTCACTGCTGTGTACAGATGGTCATTAAGGATTTTTCATTTCAGTTCAAGCAGGAGGAGGAGTGCCTACTCACTTGTTATACATTCATATAGGTAAAGAGCAGCTCGAAACCAGAGGACTCCACAAAAGCTCTTTTGCATGTATGCATTCACAATCTCACACTGAGGGCCAAATTTTTAGAATTTTGTGGGCAATGTTCATCATTGCAATTTTTTTCCATCTCAACATCTGTTATTGTGTGCTTCTATCCTCATTTTACGCTAAAAATCTAAAAATTGTTGTAGTTATACTGACGTCATACTGACTTCTAACACTATTGATTCATATCTAATCCAAATTTCGATCTTAACAAAACAGTCACACATGGCTAAAATCTACCACCTGTGCATTTTACAGAAAATATAAAAAAGTGAAAGATTGATGGAAAAAACTGTCTCATGGAGCTCAAAGCCGGGCCTCTAATGTCATACCACTGTAATAAACCTTTTTGAAAGTGCTTTAGAATCTTGTATTGATGTTGAACCACTATTTTGACAGTGTAATGTGTCTGCATGTGTCAGATATGCAAACTATGTGCAATTTACAACCTACCAAGCAATACTTTCGCATATAATATTTTTAGGACCTTAGAAATCTTATTTTAAATGTGTGACAGTTTCACATATGCAGCACATAGATTGTGTGAGCCTCTTTCTCAACAAGTTAGGGTTTTTAATCACGCCAACTCTGAACAAAAATTCTAAAACAAAGTAAATGACATAAAAGATGAAAGTCAGCAGTGCAAAAAACCTGAAGGCAAACGGAGAACATTTGATTTCTCTTCTGGAATCCAACAACTCACTATTTTAAAAATGGAATTACAAAAGAGCTAATTTCCTAAAATTAGTGATAGATAATCTGAATAATCCTGTTTTTAATTCAGTCATCTGTTTCCAGCATTATGCCGAAGGTTAGCTCCAAAACGCCTTGCTGAACAACTGCCCTCACATAAATTCAGGCTGGATGTTAGCCCCCAGTGGAACTATTGTGAATCAGGGTGCATTTCATATTGAAAAGAAGGAAAAGGAAAGGTGATGTAAACTGAGACTAATGTCTGCTTATCTGAATTTAACCCGCCCGCTGTTTTCTGAGAGGGTGTTCAGTTGACTGCTGGGAGATATCCCGGTGATAATAACCAATTCCTACCTCCCTCAGATCTTCTATCTGGCACTGAGCAAAACTTTTGATAAAGCTCTCCTACAAAAAAAAGCTTGTTCATTGTTTTGTGGACTCAGTTTCTAAAGTAACATGACATAGGTCTTTTATATTTACATTGTCTGGTTAAGTTTTGGGGAAACAACTAACTACTAACCCTACTAACCCTAACCCTAATAGTGTCAAATTTACATTGTCATTCATTTGAAGTCTTGTTTATGTCCAATAAATGAGTGAAAGCCGAGTATTCATGAAATTCTGGAAAATAAGATTTTTCTGGTGTGAACAGCCCGGGATGTTGGATGAAAGAGGAAGATGATGATGTACACCACCATGGGTCCATCTCAACGCTGCGTACCAAACCATACATCCTAAAGATGAAGCTAAGATAAAGATGAAGCAAAGATTTCACCGTGATTGTCTGATTTTCGCTTTTACAAAGACACATGGATGGTACAATTTTCATCTTAATCTATCAAACCAAATTCTTTTAGCCATTCCAGCCGATAAAAACAAAAACAATATTTCAATCGAAGACCTGTGTGTCAGGACTGATGACTAATAGCAGTCTCTAACCATGTCGTATTTCTCTGTCATTTCAATGAGGCTCTGTCTATCTCAGGATGTCACCAATCTTCATGTTAAAGCCATGATTATCTGATACATGCACAAATATATTCGTATGTGTAAAGTAAACTTTGGTTTATTCTAAAAGTTCAACCAAAGAGACCTTAAGGATCCAACTATGAGTGGAACTGGTAGAAGTGAGTGGAACTGATCTGGAGAACCTTTGGAAACTAAGGGTAATGAATGAGAAAGAGACACAAGTGGACCACAGAAGGCAGAAGACAAACCCCAGAATAATTCAGAACACGGGGCAGAACCGAGGGAACTCCAAACTAAAACTCTAAACAGAATAAGAGTAGAGAAAAAAATGGAAACTCAACCAGATTAGAAAAAAAATGAATAAATAATCCAGAAAAAAACTAACCAAAAAACTAGCACTACACAAACTATTTGATTCCTAAAGTTGCTGTTTATGGAAACCATATCCTAAATGAGTACCTGTAACGCTAATTGGAATCCAACATGTAAGACCTGGTCAGGAGTAAGAGGCTGCCAGAAGAAGGCAGTAGTACAAATTTGATTTCAAATCTAGATGAGCACCTTACATAAATCTTGCAAATCAAATTCTTTTAATATTTCTTCTTGTACAGTAATCTCAAATTTGTGCTCTTTTCGTATTTTCCCTATACCACCTTGATCATTTTGTTAAGTCTGTACTTGTAGGAATTTATTAAGAATTTGAATCACATTCATTTAAAGCAGCCTGCTTGCTTAGTGGTGTTTTTGCGTTTTTTTTTTTTGTACGGATGGCAGAGGGAGCAAAACTGTACACAGGTGAGTGTATTTGTGTGCGTGTAAGAGAGCTTCTGTCTCTTTCTCTCCTTACGTGCAAGCTTGCATCAGCATTGAAATATAAATTTCACATCATTATTTAGTCATCAGGCTTTGTCATAACAACTCTATATTGTTTGTGATTTTACACTGTTTGTGCTACATTCTGTAAGATGCAGATAATATCACAAACATTCGATATAAAGGATTCTTATCAATTCGAAAATAAACTGTTTTCAACTGAAAACTCTCCATGCAGTCAGTCTGATTTGTTTATTTGTCCATGAATCCGATTTTTCAGTTAAAATATAGTATATGTTTCCACACAAATCAGATCTTGTTGGATAAATTGTCCTTTTGCAGCCAGCTTATTGTTAAGATAACTGTAACATTAAGTTACAACAGTAACATTAACATAACTTTAACCGCACAGAGTTTTTATCTTAACATGTGGCTGTTGCCTTCTCTCCATGACAAAACAGACAGACAACAGCTAGGTGAGATCATTTGCAGCAAACGTCCAAAAAAAAAGAGCTTCTACCTTAAAATAACTGACATGAAAATGTCAGGCTCTGAGGGTACAACCTTTTAGTGGTTTTTTTTTATAGTTCTTTTGCGTTCTTCCTCTCTTTGTTCCTTTCACTTTCATTCTTTTTATGCCAATTTGAATTTCACAGCATTGCAGATGAAAAAGGAAAAAATAACAACAACAACAACAACAACGTCACCTTTGGTTAGGTAAAAAATGTTCTCATGCACAGTTCATACTTGGTGGATACCAAAGGAATAAAGCATTCCCTCATTAGCAGCAGACTAGGGTACAGCAAAGATGCTCTTTTTTTCTCAGGTATTCTCTAAGAAACCTCTTCGAAATCACTCAGTTTTCTTTCCAATAATTTAGTTCAGTCATTTTTTATGTTTTTACCAATTACAAAGTCCAAAAGAACATATATTTTTTTCTTTCTTTTCTGTGAAAAGACAGAAAACAATGCTTTTTTAATGAAGGAACTTCCATCCATTGATTTCTATACTCACCTCATGCAGCTCACTGTCACAGAGCCACACAAACAACTATCCATGCATACCAGGATTGTCAATCGATAATCAGAAACTAACTGAAAATTCATGTTTTTGGACAGCAAACAGATGCCAGAACACCCAGAGAGAACTCTCCCACAGGGACAAGATACGGAATCATCACAAAAAACCTTGAACTTTACATCTGTGAAGCGAGAGTGCTAATCACCAAACCCCAAATGCAGCCCTAAGAACCAACTTTTCTTGTTATATTTCATTTCAAAACATTTTTCAACTTAGTTACAGAATGCCACATAGTTTGGAAGAGAAAGCTGGGTTCCCTCCAGAGACTCCCATGGTCTGCCACAAAATCTATTTTATCTTGTCCCAATTTTTTTGCTTTTTATGAAAAACTAATACTTTGGCATCATTCAAGCATTATAAACATTTTCCATTGACAGTTTTTGTTATCTTAGAGCCAGCTAAAGTCAATTAGCAGACTTTCAGAACAATTTAATTATGCATGCTGGGACATCCGACATGCAAAAAATGCAGAATCAGTGTTTGAAAAATGAAAATCGTAACCGTAGACTTTTTCAGACCTGAGTGGTAGAAGTTTTGGGTGACGGATAAATAATGAAGGTATAAAAACATAAAAAAATGCATGGTCTATCTCATATGTAGACTGACATGACTGACGGAATTTTGGGGGCTGATATTGATAACAAATTTGAAGAAGTACAACAATATTAAATTAAGCATTTTGATAAATATACATACAATGAGTAACGATAAAAGTAGAAACATGAGGGCTCGGATAACGTTAGAAAAACCAAGGTAAGTGAAAATACAAAAAATATATTTTTTTAAACAATCCAATCGAGCTGTTATGCTGACTATGCTTCTACAATTTTACACTGATGTCTGGGATCTGGGAGAAAAAGAAAAAGAGATCTGCCGTCACTTGTTTTTCAGTCCACTTCTCCGTTCATTTTCTATTTTCTTTCCTTGAGGATGTGCTCTAGCTGACATTTACTAAGTCTTGAGCTAATAGCTCTTTTTTTGTTGGAGGAAAAATACTATTCAATATCTGTCAGAACTGGTTGATGTTCGGCTTGAAAGTTGAAATTGTATTGAAAAATTGTGATTGAAAATTACAGGTCTTTGTGACAGGCTGCTGGTCACAAAAGGTAGATTTCTAAATTGTATGCTATCTCTAGACAAAACAGAACTTCATGTGTTCGATTGAGTGCTTCTTTTGACTTGCACTAACACAAAAAAATCTTTAGAAAATAATATGGTAAAAAGAAAAACTGGCCTGAAAATGAAGTGACAGTAGCCAAAGTACAACTGAAAACTCTTAAAAAGGCCTTAAGTGAGCCTGGAGAAATATTGTTCAAGACCACATTAAAAACACAACAGTGCAAGAAAAAACTTGATGGGAATATAAAGAATCAGAGGTTTTATCAATAACATATCCGTGGTGTTATATATCTCTGAAAGGCCAATTATGGGCTCATTCAAAGAATTTTTCTCTGTTGAAATTTGAACTTTTCGTCCTCCGGGGCTGTCTTCAGTGTAATCATTTGATAGATTAGACATCAGGCAGACTTTTAAGATATGTCTTTGACTTGTCTGATTCCCTGAGCATCACCCAGAAACTACATAGAATACACACACACAAATATGTATATATATATATCATCAATTATTTCGTACTTAACCGGTGACTTTACTCACTCTACGTGATGGACATTTTCTCCTCCTCTCTGCCACACGTATGTCATGTTTGGAGGATCCGCCACAGCCTGGCACTGGAGAAGTGCATTCTGGGATACGTTGATGGAAATGCTTTTGGGAGGAACAACAATGACAGGCGGACCTGGTGAATGGGAAATGACACAATACATCAGATACATTTAGATTTTTAGTCATTGACAGTTAGCCTGGTGATAATTGATAATGATGATTAATACAGAGAGAAAACACATAGATCTTGATATATCCCGTCAGTGACTGTCACGCACCTCTGGAAAGTCACCTGCTATAACTGACTGTGCTAAATGGCAGGTTTAAATATAGATATACTGGGTTTAATTGTTTATTTCTCGTCCATATTATGCAGCGAGATATAGTCCTTCTGCCATACTTAGCTGAAGAACTAATGTGAACATGTGAAAGAGCTGCAAATGCATAATTAAGAGTCTTCCAAATACATTCTTCATTCTTCCCATTCAGAGATTTTTTTTAGACTTCAACATATAGAATTAATAATATAATCTGCAATAAAAAATGTGCCAATTCAAATTTGTTTTATTTCCCTCCCTTCATCATATTTGCCCAATTCAAAAACACATAAACATTATTGGATTAAACCCTCCAATCATATTGTTTCCTTCTTGTCCCTTTGGCCCCTACACAATAATAGGTAAGGGCCACAGTTGAATGCCTGATTGAAATCCTAATACGAGGCCCCCATTCTCACACAGCCATTCAAATTTGAAGCTCAGGTTTTTTGTAACTGTGATGCTGCGCCACCCGACAACTAGTTGGAACTGTCTCCACCATGTTATGGTTTTGAGTTAAGGTTGGTTACATTTAAAGATAAGCTTCCCTTATCTTTATTCTGCTCTATGTTTTCATAGATTTTCCAGTCATTTCCATCCCCAGCTTTTCTAATTATGCTTGTCTGGGCCTATGCCTTCTTTTTCAGTTTCACTGCTTCTATTTTTTCTTTATTAAAAAAAATAAAAGTTTACTATCTGTTATTGAACCCTGCCTCCTGGGTCCTGCATATGAGTCATATTTTTATCCCAAAGATATTATGCCCATTGTGTGAGAGTGGTCTCCTTTCTGGTGTCTGTCTGGTCTGGTGTTCTACACCTGTAAAATCAGCACACAGCCGTGGCTTGTCTCCGTGGTGTATAATTACAAAGAAGCAATAAAGTCCCACGTTTTTTATTTCTATTTTGTGTTTTGCTAGTGACAGCTAACTGTAAATGATCAAGGCATGCGCGCCATTGGTAAACTCAGATGGTTCCATTTACAAAAAGAGTCAGTTGACAAATGCTCTAATACATGTGCAGGGAGATTTTAGGGAGAAAAAAAAAAAGTCGCAAACATAACTTTAAGTTCACCGTGCATTATCAATTCTAATTTTACCTCGAAAACAAATTGCACTCAGCCACATAAGAGCAGTGTCACGATGTCCCATTTATCTGCCGTGCCAGCTTCATGTTAACACGTCATCAGTCTGAAAAGAGCTAATAAAAGCGGCCTGATACACCACCTGCTTCATGGATGTATAAACAACCATGTCATTTTTACAGCATTTATGCGAGATCAGGTTTATAATCCAATCCTGAAAAGGTCAGACGTTGTTTTGAATCCAATTAAAAGCACAATGACGCGCAAAAGTAATCTTTTTTCAATACAAATCAGAAATGAGAGATTTTTAAAAATGAAAACTCCATGACCAAACCATGTTTTTTTTTAAATATCCAATAGCACTGTCTTGATGGAAAAAAAGAATGGGAATAAATTAGCTCTAAAACCTGTACACACTTGGTACATTTCCAAATGTTGCCATCATCCTTTCCAGATGTTGACATATTGCTATTTCCATAGACACAAAAACACTATCAGAGACTTTAGAAGTGTGTGTTTATCCCTTTTTTCTCTAATGTGTGGAATGTAGTGTCCATGGCTTTTAAAAATAATAATAATTTAAGTTCACTTTGTTCAACTGTTTTTCAATTGGCCAAAATCCATTTTAAATTAGCTTTGACCAAGAGAGAACGGCACGATTTCTGGATCACGTTCACATATGGAACATGTGGGTTCAATGATTACCCAAGGCCATGTCGCGATTTCAATTAAAGAATCGTATTATCTTTTTTTCATATTCACTGAAACTTTTGAAGATATTATGCACTAAAAATAACGCAACACTTAAAGTTTTCACACTCATCTGTTGCCGAGCGCTACTCTATATCTAAAACTAATGCATCCCTTTTTGACTGTTGAGTCGTTTGCAAATTGCTGAACCCTATTTCCACCTCCACTTTTGAGAGATCTCTCTAAGATACCCTTCTTTTGACTAATTTTACTGAGATATTGATAATCAGTTTCACACGTTCCATCAGCTGTTTTTTTTTTTAAGTGCCACTTGCTTCTCGAGCTTTTTGGTGCTTGCATATCATCAACTCAAGATGAGCTTGTAAAATTCATTACCAGCAAAATATCTCACTTTCAACATATATTTTCTGATTAAAATAAGGGTTTGTGACATTATTAGATGATGTTTTGATATCATACATTGGGTTTTTATTGATATATTAGACAACGTCTTTGGAACCGCGGCTCTCGACACTCAACTGATTAATGCATGAGTGACAGTTCAGAGGTTACTAACGGATTTTGGTCTGACTTTATCTTAATCAGATATTAGTTTTCTCTAATCCATTCATGTGGCAATATTTCAGACAAATGCAGCCAGAGCTCAGATAAAGTGACTTAGGCCATGTGTGCTCATAAGGATTATTAGTCAAAATGTGACCACTGCAACTGTGAAAACTCAAAATTAAGCAAAGCCTTAATGGGAATGCCAGAAAAATGCCAGCGATATATATGTTTCCCCAATGCACCGTACAACAGATGAGTCCTGGCTCTCTAGAGGAAAATCATCAGTAGGAGTTGGAGTAGGAGTACAGAAAGAAGTCAGAAATAAATTCCACAGTGTATTATGTGTGCTGTGTCGGTGTAATCCAATGATCCACAGTTGCCTATTTGCATATTCTTCATGTATTTGTACTCAAACTGGACTGCAAATCTGGAGCTGGAAAACACATAAATCTGTCACGAGTTTGTGAGTCCCCGAAAAAATATTGCAAAAACAGCAATGCATTTCTAACTGTTTTTTAAACATTTAGTTTCCTGGTGGCAAAAGTTTAGATAACAGAATATGTACTGACGACCGAAAGGTCACATGACTGCCGGGCCGACGAAACTGAGCAAAGTCCATCGCCCTATCAGAATCTGACAGTGTTCTAAAGCCACAGATAATCTCAAATTTCATATCATAATGCAGAATACATTATCCCATTGACAAACTAAGGGTGAAATTCAGTTTGAGCTACTACCACTCCTCGTGCGTATGATGCAAGAGGGGGGAAAGAGAAAAAGTCAATTACTGTGGATTTTAGGCCGATCAGGAACACAGACATCACATCACAGCGACGAAGAAACAGGTGGGCGGAAAGACCGACGCACCGACAGGCAGTCGACAACTGACCTTTGATCTTTACTTTGGCCATGCTGGTCACGTTTCCCTCAGCGTTGGAGGCGTGGCAGGTGTATAGTCCCGCTGTCTGCGCGCTGACTGCTCGCAGCGATAAGCCACCCCCCTGGTAAATATGATTTGACAGATAAACCAAGAGGTGGACGGAGGCAGACAATAAAGGCAGATGATTACATTGGATAGGCATATAAACTGGAAGACAGGCAGATGCGATACACAATGAAGTAAGACAGATGAAGGTGCGGGGATGTGTGCAGTAGTTAGGCCTGACTGTGTCAGATCTCATTCCTGGAAGCCCAAATCTGATCTAAATGGCTTGGTTTGTCTTAATTTCTTGCTTTGCAATTTTCAGATAGTGCTTTTTACATTGAGGTCATAAGTCTAGTTTCGGTCACATGAATGTCCATGCTGATCCTCTACAGCAATCAATTACTAGATTTAAAAAAAAAACGTTAGTGTCTGAATTAAGGCTTGGTTGAATGTGTTCAGATTTTTAATTCCTTCCTTGATTGTCAAAACTCGTCAAATGATGACATGCACAGGGATAGCTAAACTATTATGTACAGATGGGCACATATCAATATCTAGATTTAGATGTAAAAGGAAAAGATGAGTATTACTACTTCACACGAGTGATGAGTGTTTTCACAGCAAAACAAACGTATTGATGGAATTAATCTTAGACATATCAGATGCTGAATACATCCATCTGGCATGCTATTTTCATGATTTTTTTTAATGCAACTGTATATCTAAAATGAAGAATCACAACAAAAAGACAGTGATAAAATGTAGTAACTGCTATAACTGTGTGTGGTTACCCAGTAGAGGGAACTGAAAGTAACTGACTAAAAAAAAAAACTATTAGTAGGGTGGGGTTTTTTTGTCTCAGTCTAGTGGGTGGTAGTCTGAACTAATGTCGCTGTATGTACTATTGTGTGCTCAAGTATGAGTAGATTCAAATTCTGATGTCAAATAAAGACACAGAATTCAATAGGGAGGGGGGAGGGACCAGCAAGTGAAATTTTAAAATAAGTTTCCAAGAAAAGAGTTTCAACCTTGAATTGTAATTCATGGTTGAAGTGGGAGCTGTTGTATTGTATTACTGCCTACCAAAAGCATGCCCTAAACATCTCGGTAAGACTTTAAGAAATTGCGTCATCTTGTGAAAAAGGGTCATGTTACGTGGCCTGTGGTGTTAAATAAGACGTGTGCTCCAATTCAGTCATTAAAGGCAGTTAACCTGTCAGTTGCTGCTGATCTTTCTTTATTTACCATTTCTCAATGGAGCCCCACTTTTTCAAATAATCGAATTGAAGGACACGAATTACTCAAGTGAATTCAGAACAAAAACACCCACGATTTGTCTCATCCACGGATCCATCTCCTCGGTTTGCATCCGTTGATAATCAACATGATAATCTTTATCAACATGATAATTGCTGATAATCTTTTGTTCACAGTTAAATGGCGCTTATTCACAATGATGCTGCACACCATTCCAAATCACTTATTAATACCGACACTGACACTATTTCTGAACATATTAGATAGAAAGATCTTTTTAGTATTGTAATCTGTTAGAATCTGTGATTTGAACTAAAGTCTCAAAACAGAATGGAGGCTTTGTAATGTAGTATAATTGGCTCATACATACCTGATAACTGGAACTGTCAATGACACCGCCATCTTTTAGCCAGGTGATGGTTGGAGAAGGGTTGCCGTTGGCGACACAGGGGAGAAAGAGGTGACTTCCAACCAGGGCCTCCACAACAGGAGGCGGGGTTTTGCTGAAGGTGGGCAAGGCTATAAAAACATAAGACAGAGCCAAAATGGATCTTTCAAACTTCAATGCCCGTGAATCAAGATTAACTGCAACGTTCAAATAAGTGTACTAACATCAGGTTTAATAAACTCCAATGTCAAGTATGGACCCTCACTGACTAAGGACAGGCAAACACTGGCCTCGCAGCAACAGGAAAAAGGGAGAAGACAATAAATCATTATATTCCTGTACTTCTCTCTTGGTTAGCTGCATATATGCTGACAGCAACTCTGCCTTGTTTGTTACAAAGCACTCAGTTGTACCAAGTTTAGTGAATCTCAAAAGGCATCATCATTTCACAGACTTAAGTGAAATTGGCAGTTACAAACACATCGCTTTTAGATCGGCTGCAGTTGGGCTGCAACTTCAGAGGACTCAGATCTCACTGGAGAACATCCCTTTTAACTTTTGAAAGCCCTCCAAACATAAACAAATCACCTGCAAATTCCCAAGACACATATCATTATTTCACTTTTTAAAAAACACAGATTCTCCCCCTCCCACTCCCCGGAAAGGTTTGGTTTGTTAATGATTCATATTAGTTCTGCATTTTTGTTGTTGAGGTCTTTTATCTCCATATTTTTCTACAGTTTCAAACCTGTGAAGGCAACTATCGGTTTCATTCGCGCAGGAAAAAAAGCAAACAATTGGTGAAGAGAACCCCTGCAGGGCATACAGTCACAATCTATCATCATTTTTATCTCCAACCTCAGGCGCACATGGACCAGCTCAGAGAAAATGTCTTGCTTCCCTTTGATCTGCGGGGTTCTGATAATTTCTTATGTACGTTTGCGCGTGGAATCAGGGCAGAAGTATCCTAAAAATACATTATACACTTCAAAGCGCTAAAAAATAATGATGTATTTTTTCATATCAAGATTTAATATTTAAACCCATCAACAAGCATGATCATAACTTTACAGAAAGGAGCCAAACTTCTTCCCAAAAACCTGCGCGAGGAGAGTCAGAGGTTATTAAAGCTGTCCAAATGGTTTGATCTATTTTGAAAGTTTAAATGCTTTTTGAAAGTTCTTTTTACAAAAAGTTTCATGGAGCACCTGTATATAGCGCCTGTCAAGACGTGCTGCCAAAGCGCTGCTCTGCAGAGTAAATCAAATCTAAGTTGTATGAAAGGTAGTGTGAAAGGTTGCAATATTAAATGCCCTAAAATACTTAATGAGAGCAAAAGCATCTATTTGATTTTCTGTCTTATAAATAAATCAATTTGAGCTGTGGAGATAACAAAGAGATTGGCATCACTTATCTTTAAAGTGCGCCGAAAAGTTTAAAAAGTGACTATTCATGAAGGACTGGGGATAAGGGCTTTGATTTACACACTATAAAAAGTGGAGAAGGGGCTTCCACCCAAATTGATGTTCCGAATTTATTTTGGTCTACTATCAATATTAATAGCATTAGTGGGGTAGTAGAAGTAGGTTGCACCGCATTAGAACTGGCTGGGCTTACAGTAGAATGCTATGTATAAATCAGCTGCATGTAAAGGAGGTTTCGTTGTTGTTGTTGTTGTTTTTTTATGTACACCGGTACACGGGCAACATGTGTTGCTTTCTTCTTATTTATTTATTTATTTATTTATTTATTTATTTATTTATTTATTTA